TATATTACACAGCATTGGTTAAATTAATTGAAAGAGTTATAAAAATTTATTCTAAACTATAGAACTTATGTGATAGAAAATTTAGAGGGAGAAGATATCTTATATGATAATCATCTTCTTTCTACAAATATTAGAATTCTTATGTTTGAATATTTTGATTTAATAAATTTTATTTTTATTTTTAATCTCATAAAATATTCATAACCAAGCGATCTATGACAAGAATAGTTAATATAATGTATTCAAAAGATTAATGATAACCAAGATGGTTGCGCTAGGATCAACATATTTTAAGCTTTTATTAGAAGTAATGCGGGTTTCTTTAGTACTATTGAGGGAGAGTTTTTTCTCTACCATGCATTACCAAATAAAACACTGGTCAAAATCTGAGGAGTATAACTAGAGAGATAGATGTAGGTTAGTTGGTCAATTGATGATAAAAAAATTTTCACATCCTTTTTATTTATCTTAGCTTATTTACTTAGTGTAATCTTTTGCAAATACAATTTTTTGCTAATCAAAATATTTGGTTACATGTGAAATTGACTTAGGACATTTATTTAAGAAGATATAATTTTTAATCCTATTAAAGAAATACTTTGGTTGGTTAAAATAAAAAAAGGGAAGATTTTAAATTTGGATATATTTAATCCATCATATAATCTCCTTTTAAATAAAAATTCATATTAATCACAAAAAATTTCATCATATCACAATTGGGCAAGAGTAAGTAAAATAATATAAATGGGAGAGTAATGGAAAAAGATAAAAGTAAAGAAAAGCATATCAATCAATTAAGGCTTATCACTAATTTTTTATATGTTCATGCCTCATGTTATCTAGGTAAGATGTTCACTTCTTTCAAATTTTCCCTCAATAAGGTCCAGAATTATCTTTCCTTAAAAAGAACAGAGAAGAGTTGGGCCTCTTTTCCTCTTTAAGGAAGAAGATCATTTCTTTATCCTATCACTTTATGCCACCAAGTTCTCCATAAATAATTTGAGATCGAAAGTCCTCAAACTAACAATTAATCATAATTCTTATGAATTGGATTTTCAACTCATAGGATTGTAAGACTAATAGAAAAATAATATAACTTGAAGTACACTTTTCCTTAAAATAATATGTCTTATGACTTTCAAAATCTATCTTAAAAAATTTTCTCAAGAATGCTTTACTGCGACTCTTTTGAATGGTGGTTAAGGGTGGATTCCTTAAAATTTTCTCTAATAACTAGCCCCCCTGCTTCCCATTCACACACTTGGCCAACCCCCCTCTTCTTTATTGTTAAATTATATTATTGAAACACTTCAAAATTCAATTGCTAAATTGATAAAAATAGAGCTTTTCATTGTGATAATAAGTCAAGTGAGAGAACTTTAAGTGTATTAGATTGGTGGTTGGCCTAATCATTGAAAGAAATGTGTTGATTTCTTTTTCACCAACCCATTAGGCAAGTGATTAATTTTTGTTTCTGCTATGATACTTATTTATTAATCTTTCCTTTGCTCACCCTTCTTAAATTATTAGATTATGATTTTGTTCCATATTTTATTTTAGTCAAAGTCCAACCATAACCAATATAAGGCTATCAGCCAAAGTCTTCCTATATTAAGAGTTAATTTTTTTTAAAGGCCCATTGGTGGTTTGAAACTACTTGAAAACTCTTGAAAAAGTATAAAATTAAATAGGAAATATTAATCCTTTACATTCAAGTGTTTCCAACACATTTTACACCCAAACCTTCTCACTAAAGCCTTAAAGCTAATTTTCTTGCTTTTGGTTGGGTAGGGTTTCACTTGGCCAAGTAGTCGTATTTTAAAGGCCTATTGGACTAAAGAAACTAGGTTTTGGTAGAATTGGCATGTATTCACAAAACTATAGCTATATAATAGAGTGATAGTGAATTTAATTATTTTATTTCAAAGTATATATATATATATATATATATATATATTGCATAGGGTCATTAGCATTAAATTTTTTAGTTGTTGAAGAAGTTTAATTTTATTCTTAGTTGACACTAATTCTATTTTGAAAATCATAAGTGTGAAATTTAATTTAATAATTTATAAATTTAACGACTCATTTACAATTGAATATTTATTTAAAAAAAAACTTTAATAAATTTTAAAATTTTTATTATTAAATAAAAATTTTAGTTTGTGAAATAATAATTAGCTTTCTCTATTAGTGTTTGCTGAGATCCTCATTAGAATTATCTTAAACTCAAACCACTTATATTATTTGAACGATACATGTATTTGTGTGAACCTCACATAGGCTAGTTCATCCTCTCTCACTTGAGACACATAATAAAACCAAAAAATATTAAAAGCTTGAAGAACCCCCTCTTTTTTGTTGCTTAGTTTGAATGAGCAAATTGATCAACATAAGGTTCAACACCAAGAATATCTCTCATCTAGAATAAAATAGTGAAAATTAAAAAAAAACAATTTCTTCTTGAAATCTTAATTACTTCAATAACGAGGTTTTAACACAAGTTGTGATTTGCCTAACAACTTTCCATATCAGCATAATTCTTTGTAGAATGTGAAAACTCGCTCATGGTTGCATCTACTTGCCCAATGCAAGGACATTATTGTCTTCTTTAGCTATGATTCTCACTTTCTTCTTGTTCTTCTTATCAGAAGATCCATCCACTCTTCAATTTTTTATAATTATCTCGACCACTTATTCCTCGTTCACCCCTTCAAACTAATTATTTAGATTGTTCATGGTTTTGCAAAAAACTAACACTCATAGAGAAGAATTACAGGAAAATAAATCTACTAACACGACTCATTTATATAGGAAATGGAAGAAATCAAAACAAAATGAAGGTTTCTTAAAGGCATATTAGATTAAAGACCTAATAAATTTAATTTATTATTCGTTAGGAAGCATGCTTAAAAAGAAAAAAAGATATCGGAGAACTAAATATGCACATGCAAAACAAAAGAGGTCAAGTTAAATGCCCCATCAACCCATGAAATCGCATGTTATATCAAATTAGATTCACTTAGGTGCCAACTTAGCAAGGTCCGGAGATGGTTCCTACAGCTCAATAATTCACCCTAGGCCAACAAATGCTTGTAACCTAGAAGTTTTACTAATACACAAATTGGGTCATATTTACAATTTATCTTGTTTATGTTAATTTAGTATGTCAACAATTCAATGTTTAGCATGCCTCATAGTTCTAGAGTGCAACATATAACATTACTAAGGCCAAAAGGATCACTATAACACCACATCATTATCCAAAACTCAAGAAGCACTACATGAGGCATAACAATGTCACAATGGAGCATTACAATGCCACATATTTCGTGGGATATGCCATAGTGTCACTCAACTTTGTGCATTTATTATTATTATTATTATTATTATTATTATTATTATTATTATTATTATTATTATTATTATTATTATTATTATTATTATTATTATTATTATTATTATTATTATTATTATTATTATTATTATTATTTAGTGGCAGAGAAAATTCATAGCAGTATTGTGATTACTTAATTTCTTAATGTTGCACGGAAATCTAACACCCACATAGATAATTTAAAATAACAAGAGAAGACATTAGGATTTTCTATGTGAAAGCAAAGAAAAAGAAAAAAAAAATAAAGGGGCCTAACCCAATCAAAGAATTTCACTATAAGTGTGTAAGTACAGAGGTAAAAATTGTTCTCACTAGGAGAGTGAGGTTACTATTTCACTCCAGATACAACACTTGTCAGTATATTGTGTACAAAAAAATAAAGATTTTAGGAACAATATTTGTATTCTAACTATGGCAGTTATAAGCAATGGTTGTTGGTGGCCGGTGGTTAGAGGCGGCGAATATTGTCGGTGATCGACATCTACAGAGGTTAGAAGTTATCATGTGGCCTTTAATACGAGAATATTATATTACACCTTATTTTAAATACAATTTTTAAAAACAAGGGTTGCTGGAGGCAGGAGGTTGATTGTGGAAAGTAGGGATTGCAGACGGCGGTCGATAGTGGCTGGTGGCTATGGAGTCCGGAAGTTATCGTCGGGACTTCAATCTAAAACATGCCTTGAAATTCCTTTTTTTTACTTATTCCATAAAGCGAAGAGAGGGGGTGTATTTATAGCCTCCGGGGTATGATTATTCTGGTCTTTTGGTGAATAACTTTCCCAACGACCTAATCGAACAATCCAAATTAATAATCCCTCTTAATAATGAGAGTATTTTTATAATAAAAGTATCTTAATGCCTCGTAATTGAGTAATCATGGGCTCTTTAGATTTCTCTAATCAAGACAGTCAATTTGACTATAAATATGCTAAATGTGGAATTCATTTGACAATAAACTGACGACCCAAAACATCCAAGTGTAATTCAATGGCTTAATTTGGGTTTGACTGGACCCAAATTAACCGAACTTTGGTATCATTGGGTCTGACTTGTCCAGACGGTTAGTTTAACTAAAAAAATGCTAAAAGTGGAGTCTTGAATGACCTTGAATTTGAATTTAGAATGCTCAATTATGTGTGTGTGTGTGTGTGTGTAACGATGCACTATCAAGGAGACAATTCTTATATATATATATAGACCACGATGCGTCTTCTTTAGTAAAAGATGTTCAAACTTGACAAAAAGTTATCTAGAAGTACAATTTCAATAAATTTACAGCCAAATTGATCAGCACAATGAGACAAACCCAATGATACCAAGATTGGTTCAATCGGAGTCAAATCATGTCCGGATCAATTTGATTGTATGTTTACTAAAATCAGACTTCTTGATAACTTTTTTATCAAATTTTGAACATTTCTTGGTTAAAAGATTGTCTTGAGATCTATATCATGCCGTGAGATTCATGTCAAATGATGAAGATTTCTTAATGGCTTATCATAGATATATATTAAAATAAAGA